AAAATGTGATATAATACACACACACACACACACACACACACACACACACACACACTTTCAGGGAAATGGATACATCTGGAATACATTCTATTAAGAAGGTTGTAACAGACTAGCACAGACAAATGTTCTCTCTTATGTAGACCCTACCTTTCAGTGTTTACATGCCTATGTATACATGTGGGTGTGAGTGTAGGCCGTGAAACCAGACAGAGGACCATCAGGAGGGCCAATAGAAGTATTGAAGATGGCAACAGAACACATGACATGAAAACAGAGAGGAGGCCACTGTGGGTAAAAGGACAACGGGGATGGCAGGGAGTTGGGCAGAAGAGGGGGTAGAAGAAGCAACAGAAATAAATTTTGCTTGAAAATACTATAGCAAAACCTAATACTTTATATGGTAGTTTTATGTAGTGTCTTTCTGAAGTTTGGATGAACATAAATTATAAGAATGCTCCAGTCAGCATAGATAGCTCATAGACATTTACAGTGACCCTATTGCTGTTAATTCAGATATACCTATTGAAATGTATTGAATGTGTCAGCCATGTTTTCTTTTAGTAAATGCTAAAGTCCTCCTCCCTTTCATTGGGTTATCCTTCCTCTTGTTCCATCACTTTACCTAGTTGTCCCACGAGGGCCTATCATGCAGCATTTCCAGGGGTGTTGATTGGAGACCGATCACAGTAGAAGTTAGAGGGTGGGCTGACAATTAGTTAACCAGAGGTTTCTAAAGCACAAGCCCGGTGCTGCTTTCATTGTCTGCCCCTTGTCTTCATGAGCTCTTTGACAGCAGGTAGTGCCTTACTTGTGGCTGAATGAATGGTTGGGTTATGAAAGGACAGCTGGCCTTGGGAGAATGTTATCACCTCAGATCTGGAGGGAAGTGCTTCATGGCTGGGCTACAGCTGTCCACTCTGTTGTTCTCCCAGTTTTTCCTTAAATCTCATCTACCCACTGTACTTGGTATTCTTCACCTTATGTAACTACATTTTTTACTCAATGGGATATGCTTGTCAAACACAGGTCCGTTTATACCTTTCCCTGCTTTGTGTTTAGTTTTGTTTTTAAATACATGGAGCAAAATTTTTATCTCTAGTTCTGGGCCTTGACACTTCACCTTGCATCTGTCCATTGTTCGGAAATGTGAAGGCCTTTTATTACCACATGAAAAAATCATTAGGAAAGTACATTGACTGCCAAAAGTTATGTCAGTATATAAAAATCACATCAAACAGTCCAAAATACTTTAAATTTTGAATTATTTATCCTTACTAAAGTTTTATATAATTTATTAAAGGTGGTGAAAGGAGCTCACATTATAAAAGTAAATGGTTTCAAGTGGTCATTAAAGAAAATGGTGAAAGCTATTGACTGAAAACCAGAAGAACTTTTAATAGAAGTATGGAAAAAGTTATATTCACAGTCACATTATCCGGGATTCAATACTGGCAGATTGTTCTCAGGTCTTCAGAGAGAGAGAATCTAGAGATGTGTAGATGCTGTTTTCATGTCTATAGACTTCATTTAATACTTTGAAGCAGGAAGCAGGTTGGCACAATTGTTTAATAAACATATAGAACATCTGTATAGAGCCTGTAAACTTTAAATATTGGTATTCCATCTAGTCATGTTTAAAAACATTTACTTCTGTATCACCAAGTACTGTCAGTTTCAGAAAGGAGTTTGGGGCCCTAAGAGAAAGGACTCGTTTTAGGTCAGAGGTAGGAAAGTTACCAGTTGAGCCTGGAACATTTTGTCACAACAGAAAATAAGGAAGGACTTTATCAAAAGAACTTGAAAGCCAGCCCAAATAAGCACAGGCACTTGCATACTCATCTTTTATAAGTCAAGATATAAGCTACAATGGACTGAAGTATATCAAGTTTGCTAAGACTCTGTGACTTCGTGGCTATACTTCCTAAGTAAAAATAAAAATCATGTTGGCCAGAGAATATTCAGGATGCCTCATAACGTGTAAGTACAGAGTACAGAAACAATCAGGACTTGCTTTGTGTTGTGTCAGTGATCTGACCTCAGGCTCTCTCAGAAGGGGATTCCTCTTTCTGGGGTCACTGCACATGATAAGAATGACCAACAGACAATAACTTAGGCGTCATGAATCAACTATTGGATCTGGGCAAATATCACAATGTCTACAAAACAAGTCAGGCAGTCTCTGATTTCTAGGGAAATTTAAGATACTACATGAAGGAATTTTTCACCTCACTTCCTAGATTAGACATAGCCTGTAGATCATATCATAGGGTATAGGAAAACAAGACAAGAGCAGGATCAAACACACCATTGTGGCAGAGTGGACACATCCAGATTTGGAAATTCTGTCAAAGACCATATTTCTTTTGATAGCAATTACAAGTCTATATGAAGACTAGAAATGAAGACAAGCCTACAGTTAACAGGAAAGGAATAAGCCCACCAAGGAAGTACAGTGTCTACTCAGTATGTGAATTCATATTCAGACTAAGACAAATTGACCAGCCATCAAAACACTTCCATATTAAAAACAATAGCCATTTTAGTGTGTAATACTACTGTATTTGTTACTTAGTGTTTTTATTGTCTCTATCTTTGCAAAACACAGTGAAATATCTTTAACTGAAATGACTCAATGCTTGGCATTTACTGTAAAATAATATGGCCTGTGGGGCCAGAAATGGGATTAGCCAAGGCAGTTGATGGAACTATAAGTAAAGCGAGCTTGGTGGAGAATTGATTGTCACTAAATCCATGACGTAGATGGTCTTAGTTAGGTTTCTGTTGCTGTGAAGAGACACCATGATGGCGGCAAATCTTATAAAGGAAAACATTTAACTGGAGCTGGCTTACAGTTTCAAAGGTTTAGGCCATTATCATCATGGCAGAAGCATGGTGGCTGTGAGTAGGGCAGCATGCAGATAAACATGGTGCTGGGGAATTCTATGTCTTGATCCAAAGGCAACTGGAAGTGACTTTCTCACTGAGTGTAGCTTGAGCATATATGAGATCTCAAAGTCTGCCTCCACAGTGACCCCCTTTCTTCAACAAGGCCACACCTCCTATTAGTGCCACTCCCTTGGGGGCCATTTTCTTTCAAACCACCACATAGACACAACGGGTTTGTTATTCTGCTTCATTTCTTTTTTTGTATATATTAGATTGTTGTTGAAATAAAATTTAATATGTCTATCATATATGTATATAAACACTCTATTAAATTGAATGCAAAGTTAAAATTGCAAAGTGTTTACCTGTTTTTAAACATTACAAAGAATCCTTTGTACACAGCTGTTAGAAGGGGCAGCCACTGGCACTTCAAGGACTTGTAATAACGGTTCTATGATATAATGTGAAAAACTACAAGATTGCAGGCTGGAGGGAATGCTCAGTGGTCAGGAGCACTGGCTGCTTTTGCAGAGGATCTAGTTTGGTTTCCAGCACCCCCACTGAGCCACTCACACCCACCTGTAATGCCTGCTCCAGCAGCCTTTTCTGCCCTCAATGAACACTACATGTACACATGCACACACATGTATACATACACTTACACACACAATTAAAAAAAGTCTTTTTTTGTTTTTTCAAGACAAAGTTTCTCAGTGTAGTCCTTGATGTTCTAGAACTCACTCTGTGGCCCAGGCTGGCCTTGAACTCACAGAGAACCACCTGCTTCCGCCTCCTGAGTGCTGGGATTAAAGGCATGTGCCACCACCACACTGCAGAATAAATCTTTTTGAAAAAGAAACAAGATTGCAGTGGTGCACAGTGTTGTAAGCCTGATAACTTAATGTGAGACTCTAAATTCTGTTATAATTCTGTCTCAGAGTCAGAAGAACTTTAGAGTCTAGATGGGAGAAATGTGAAGTGGTACCACAGGAAAAAATTACGTGAAATCTGTTCCAAATAAGACTGGTACAGAAGGGGAGAAAGAGCAGCAAATGGGTTTGGCCTGCTGCTCCCTCTAGAGCATGGCTGTTGGAACTTCCCAGTCCAAACCCCTTTTCACCTGAGGAATTTTTACCTGAGCTCAGCTAGGTAGGTAAGTAAAGTAGGTACAAGAATCAGACATTTATGACAGTAAATCATAAAGAACTTTAAGACAGCCCTTTGGGATGCATGTGATTTTACCACGAAGCTGGGCACAATGGCTCACACCTCTGATCTTAGCAATGGCAAACAGAGGCAGAAGTTCACTGAGGGTTCAAGGCCAGCCTGCTCTACATAGTGAGTTCCAGGCCAGTCAGAGATAGATAGTAAGATCCTGTCTCAAAAAAGAAAAGAAAGAAAAAAAAAGATGAAAACAAATTTGCATACTAGAGATGAATGTGCTTGTTGGTCGGAGCACAACACAACCCAGAAATGCATTGTTTTGATACTCACAAGCAGGAAAATATTAAAAGCCTTGTTTTCTATAATTAAGCCAGCATGTTTCTGCAAGAGTAGAAAGTTTTGTATGTACATCAAAAATAACTGCACTTAGCAAAACACAAAATCTGAGCCAGGGGGTTTTAGGCAGTGCTCGTTGGCATTCCAAGGTGTCACAGCATGCAGTGGGACACACACATGGGACATACACACGTATGTGTTCAGAGTGAAGGCTGCAGTGACAACTCCTGATACAGCATGGTCAAGTGCTGCCAGGAACGCTGTGGATCCAGTACACATCTGATTGTGAACTAATTGTTGGCTGTGGCACACTCATTGCAGATCTTATTACACATCTGATTATGAACTAATTGTTGGCTGTGGCACACTCACTGCAGATCTATTACACATCTGATTGTGAACTAATTGTTGGTTGTGGCACATTCAGAAACCATTTATGGTTGCCAGACTTTTCACCACCTCCCTGTGCCTTTTTACCTCCCGTGTGGGGTCAGGATCACATGAAGGAACTTTGTGGCAAAGCTCCACCAGTAATGCCCTCCGTGATTACCTGTCTTTTCTATTTCTAAGGTAATTTTTCTTGTGAGTAAATAAACTTATTTGTTTTATCCTAGTTGGGGAATGGCGGTCAATGTGTATTCTACCTCGATAACCCAGGAGACTATGAGCAGGCATGACATCATTGCATGGGTTAATGACATCGTGTCTCTAAACTACACAAAAGTGGAACAGCTCTGTTCAGGTAAGAGATTGTCTTTTTTTTAGTATTTACCCAATGTGTTTACTGGCAATTGAATGTGATTTTTATGAACTGCACATGACATATGGAAACTTGGCTGTAACTGAAAAACATATGGGGGCGGGTGTTTGAGAACATCTGAGAGCGCACAGCCATCCAGATGGGCATATGAGCAGCTTCTGGCTTGCTGTCGGCCACGCCTCTCTGTAATGCTGGCTCCCAGCCTCCGTTCCATCATCCTGTTGTCACTATGACAATAGAACTTGGCAAGGTGGTGCAGGGCCAGAATCCCAGCTACTCAGGTTGCTGAAACAGGGTATCACAACTACAAGGCCTGCATGGACCACACAACCAGTTCAAGGCCAGCCTGAGTAACCTAGTGGGACCTTGTTCCAAAATAAAAAGCAGCTGGGGCTAGAGCTTAGAGTACTTGTCTATAGGAACAAATAAACAAACAAACAACAGAACCCATAGTGGATCATCAGGGCTTCATATTGCTGTTCTCAGGTCCATTGTACACCGATCCCAGGAGCCTTAGCGGAACAAACACTCTGGGTTCTCTACAGCCTCCTTCCCTTTGGCACCCTGTAGTTTTCCTCCTCTTTGTGTATGTAGTAACATCCTGTTCACAGTTCAATCTGCCTCACCTACTGTCAGCTCTGGGAAGACTTCCCAGGCTTGTAGTTTCCCCCAAACCCCACCCCTTATCCAGGATAACACCTGTCATGCTGTGTATAACATCGGACTCCCAATCCCAGCATTCACCAGGATTCTTAAGAAGAGGTCTGTAGTTTGTCTAATGCCCAGTGCTCCACTGTACCTGATACTGAGTTCTGTAGGAATGAATATTGGGTTAAACCTGTTTTAAAAAAGATGCAATTTCAAAAATAAACTCTGAGTATGTTAAAGTAATCTGTCTTAAGCTGCTTAAATTAAAATAATGTATTCTCCTTTGCAAAGTAAATGTTTTCTTGTAAACTAATAGACAAAGAGATGTCTTCTCTGCCTGTGGCCCCAAGGTGAACATGGTGTTAGGAAAATAGAGCATTACTGAAATGTGTTTGTGCGAAGGCATTTAGATGTGGAGGAGTTCTGAGTTTTAGCCCACTCGTTGGTATTGGACTGTGAACCCTCTTTCCAGAGGGTCATATGTAAAATGATTTCATGCATTATGGTCAGAATTCGCCAAGTCCCCAGTAATAAAGTTTCCTTTCTGCTTTGAGACACATTTCTGACTGGGAGGCAAGTGTGAGTCCCTGCTGTGGAAAGACAGGCACTGGTTCACTCTGCAGCTCTCAATGCTTATGTGAGAAACCTCACACCACTAACAGTGAAACGTAGGCCTCCCAAACCTGTCTGGCACCACTTCCATCCTAGTTTAATTTTGTCTTCAGCAATGGTATTTGGCAGGAAGAAGTGGTCTTTCTGTGTATTTATTTATGAATTCATTGCTCTATTCTCGTGCTAGAAGACTTTGACATCAGGTAGGACAGTGCCTCCCAGACAAGAAAAAATCCAAATACTGGTGACCTAAGTGATTTGTCCTTTCATGCTTAGAAATGCTCAGATTTGTGGAGTATAACGTAGTGGCATCTTGCAAGATTATACTATACTATAATGTATCTTGTGTATTTGTTTTGGTTCCTTGTAGCTTATTGTGTGGTATTTGATTTTAGTAATGTGCTTTGGGAAGAAATGTGCACACGTTTCTGCAGAGTGTATTTTCCTGACACCCCACCCCTATGAAGGCAGTTCCCCTTCTGCCTTTCTCCCCTATGACGTCACTCTCTTATTTCCAGCTAACAGATCTCTCTCAAAGCCAATGTTAAAACAAACATCAATGAGAATGTATGGAATTCTAACTGCAGAAGTTCATTGAGATGTATAGACTTTGGACTGGCTAGTGTTTGTGTGTGTGTGTGTGTGTGTGTGTGTGTGTTTGTGTTGGAAGCTCTTTACAGTAAAGTTTTAATAATGTTTTTTAAAAAAATATAAAGCAAGGTGGAAAAAATAAACATTAGCTTTTCTTTAGTTGGCAAAAAGGGGGAAATACAACTGTGGTGTTGTTTGCTTCTGTATTTTTTGCCTTAATTTAACATCTCTTTCTTCCCCATAAACATTTTTAAATGTTCTTTAAAGTAAGAGTAGTGTTCATAGCTCAGTGGTAGAGCACTTGTCTTATGTGTACAAGACTCTGGGTTCAATTCCCAGCACCACAATAAGTAAATTACATGGAAATACATTGTAATATATTTCAAAATAATGAAAATTGTTTGCTCCTATTTCTTGATATTTTTTGTCAGAGATGTAACTTTATAACCACTTTCTTTGAACATTAAATCTGGGTCACAGATCTGTATGCATATTTGGATTGCATTTATTTCTTGCAAAAAGCAATCTGTTTCCAGGAAAGCAGAGGGCTGTTCCATTTTGTACTGCTGGCCATCCAAATCTGCTTAGAAATCTAGTCATGTCGATTTCCCCTGTGGGATGGGAGGTTGAACCATGAGCCCCATTACACTGGTTCAGCTCAGAAATATCTTTCTGTTTTCATTCATTTGCATTGTAAAATATATAAGGCTTTCAAGGGGGTGTCATCAGGGGGAAAATAGCCTGTTTTTATTTGAG